GATCGATAAAAAAAATTCCCCTTCATTGTTCTTCTGTTCTAAAGTCCTCGTTTTAATTATTAAATTAAATGTCATTTTCGTTGGACAGTTATCAGGCTGAGAAATTTGTAAAAACGCAAAGAAGTTACACGTGTCTCGCGTCTAACACTTAATAAAATATTTGAAAAATGGCTGCGGAACTCTGATCTGACTAGGCGCAGAAAAAATGCGTGTAGTGAAATAAGAATTGTAAAGAAACAACAACAATGTATTTTGCGAACGAGGGGAAACAATATGATATAATCGCTAGTGGTAGACAGGAATCACTTCTTTGACGTTCCGCTCGATAAAACGGGATTTTTGCATTGTCGGAACCAGTCGCGATTGCAGTTTCATACTTACGTATCGGTCACAGACTCGCCCTATCATGAAATCGGTGGATCCTCAATACGGAACAGCAGCTGCCGCAGCGCTCCCGACGCAGCGGGGGGAGCAGCTGTCCTCTCTCCCTCGCCGCTCTCGAACCCGGATCCCGATTCTGGTTCTGCTTGCTGTATCCACCGTGCCATATGCGTAGATGGATTCGTCACTCGTGGAGTGACCCGTGCAGCTTCCAGAAAACGTGTTTACCTAAATGAAATGAGTGCCGCGGCGACGAAGCACGATGCGAATTGAACGCGCCGTTCCCATCGATACGTCAATCCCGTTTCCTTTGAAGCGATCGATTTTTAAATTATAGAAATGTATATTCAATTTGTATTTGATAGACTGAAAAGCAGGCCTGTTTTACACCCATTGAAAAAATTTCCGGACCCAATGCTATTACACTTCAATATATCATAAAATAGGATCGATAAAGCGCCAATCACTCTCGGAAAGAAAAGATAGCAACCTATTTTGGGGGTCCACAATTAGTAATCGAATTGTTTGGATTGTTCGTAATCTTTTACGAATTTTACCTCGCGTAAGTAAAAATCGCAACTAGTTAGTCTATTTATATCCAAGATTTTTAAGTGATATTAATAATTTCTCTCAATTAGTTCTGTCGATATTCAGTAACGCGAAGATGATCTTCACTTAAGAGGCACTAACCGAAATGTTAAGTTGCTTAATTACAAAAATTAACGGTCATAATTTTTCTCAGAGTACAGTTACGAACAATCCAAATATAATAATTCGATCACTAATTGTGGGCTCCAAAATGATTTGCTAACTGTCTTTTTTCCCTAGATCATATTTATTATAGAGAAAGGAATATTTTAATCTTAAATGAAAAATTCTATAATATAATCTAGAATAAAATGATAGCATGTTATCGTCTTTTGTCGAATGTCGTGGTGCCAACTTCGTGCGTTGTACGATGGAGAGAAAATTTATTCTAAACGCAAGAATATATAAACGTGCATTTATATAAGTTACTCTTGTCTCAATATAGTAAGTCGATACTTTCTAATTCGATAGAGGAGAATAAGCATTATTGAATTTATTTTGATACTGTCCTATTTTTATACTAAATGAGGTTGTGAGAAATATAAACGTGTCAAGAATATTTTTGTCTCGGTAACAGAAATCCTTTCTGAGGTATTTGTACTTTCATGTAAAATGGTCCGTGAAACATACACGTTCTGAAAATAGATCGAAGACATAAATTGTAAGGAGAAATATCGGTGAAAATTTCACGTTGAACAACAGCAATATTATGAGTGGATATTTCTATAACGAGTTTTCCCTTGTTGCGCTTCGACGATGTGACGACCGATACGATTGACGTAAACCGCAATAAGCGTGGATTTATCGAGTCGGTATATCGACGATACGCGAGCGCCCGCGATGTCCGAGCCATAGACGCGAGTTAAAAAAAAGAAGAAAAAGGAGGAGGAAAGGACCCAACCAAGCGCGAAGAAGGTACGATAGAGGAAACGATGAAAATTGCAGACAGACGTGAAAACGATCGGCATGGGGTCTTTTATTTCGCGATATAAGTCACTATTCACTTACATCCACCTATCGATATCGCGAAAACCGATGCGATAACGCAAAAGGTAAACTTGGAGAAAGGAGCTTTTTATCTCGGGAATGTGGTCTCGACGATTTACCAATATTTGTAAATCCAAATATAGATATACGGTGTTCCTTGAAAAAGTGTTTCGTATCAAACTTGTAAGAACGACAGCCGCGCGAAATGACGTTTGGCCGAGTTCTCGTTTAAGGAGACCGCGCCACCAAATTTCTTGGAGATTAATAATACGCGGAACAAGGACCGATATGAATTTAATGATTAATTACAGGAGATGCCATTTTCGGTTTTGCTAGCCTAACAATAATACTTCTGTGTGAATTTTGCGTACTCCGTTTTCTAAAGGCTAGTTTCACAAACGTCGGTTAACTGTTAACAGAGTTCAGTAGACTCCCTATCTTTTCCCATCCTATTATTTAAGAAGAAACAGAGAATCAATTAACCTTCGGTTAGCAATTAATCTGTCGTCCAGACAGGGTAACGGTAGGGAATTTGTTGATTTGCTAGAGGGGTCTTCGGGGGTGTGGCCACTTTGCATCCATACGATGCTCTACCAAACCATTGAGTGAGCTGCCACGCATCGCTCTGGGGTCGCGCTAGTACTATTCCTACATTATTCAATAAAATAAAGTAGGTGAGCGCGAAGGATTTCGAGCGTGGACCTGGATAGCTCAGTTGGAAGAGGATTCGCCCGGCAAGCGGAAGGTCCCAGGTTCGAGTCCTGGCCGAGTCCTAACCCGTTATTTTTCTCGTCGAAAATTAAGAAGTGGCGCGTCTTATGTAGGTCCAATTTCACCAAACGTTGCTTAACTTTAATCTTAGTTTAATTCACGTTTGTCTCTTTCTAGAGTAACAGTGGGAACGACACGAAGAACGAATTAAGCTAAGCTTGAAGTTAAGCGACGTCGGTGAAACCGAGCCTTAGTGCCTACCTCCCCTATTTATTACTATGGATATTAACCGTTTGTGAAACTGACCCTAACCCACGATCAGTAAACTGCACGCCGATTATTTGTCGATCTTAAAACACAGCTTTTCGGTGAGCCAATAAATTCAATAAATTTATTCTTCGTAGCGATTTAAATAGGATGCTTGTTAGCACCGAGAAATTCCATGAACTTAAGCATTACTGTCCCAACAAAAAGCTATATTTTAAGACAAACATTGGAGTTGGGAAATAAGTATACAAAATTCACCGGAAATGTTGTTAGACCACCGAGATCCGATCGAAAACGTCATCTTCTCTAATTAATTGTTCCTGGAGATTATCCGGAGTTGGAATCTCGCGCTAAGAATAATCTCGTATCATTCTCATGATTGGAAATTCTCTCCGGTCGAACCAGTTTCACCCCTTCGGCCTAATAAACGTCGCTCCCCTTTCGCGCATCCATAACGTCGATTATGGCGTAACGCGCATACTACGCGAGGATGATCGCGCGCGTGTCAATCGACTCGCGTCGGCGACTCGGCGATGAGAGGGGTGGCTCACCCTCGACCTAAGCAGCATTGTCCGCCTGATTCTGGTCCCGCTGCCAGCTGTTGCCATTTTTTTTTATTTGGCCCCTCCTCGCTCGTGCTCGCCCCCGGGCTCCTTTGTCGAGCCTCGTACTCGTTCATGCCAGTCGATCCGAGCCGAAATTAATCAAAGGGGGACGATCGGTCGCACGTGGGCAAGCCTCTTCCTCCTCCCGTCCCCTGTCCTCGTGCAGACGCGCGCTTTTCCTCGATCAAAATATTAAATAGCGCAATCCCCCTTGACAATTCCGTTTCGAGGCCCAGAATAATGAGCTGGACGAGGAGGGAAGTAGAAGGGGAGAAGCAGGAGGTGGAAACGAAGGAGCGAACGGCCACGTGCCAGCCATGGGAATATAATGCCGCAACGGCCACGTGCTCGGCACCTATCGGGTGTAGCGGCAGAAAACGACCACTGGTTGCGTCGCGGCGCGGCGCGGCTTACATTTCAAATTCAGTCTCCCTCGCGCGGTCGGCAACATTTATTTGCATCTGGGATTTATCTCGAACGCGGACCTCAGTCGAGAAGCGTGAAAATTGAATCGCCACCGATGAGAAAACAGGGAGCCACTGTGCGTCTGTAACTCAACCCCGTGATTAAGTAAATGCGTATGGTAATTGACTCGAGCTGCTCCATGGCAGTTGTAGAGGTTTAAGAGAAAGTACCTCGGTTTTCGCGTTAACGGATCTGCTTTTATAGAAATAAAATAGTAATATAAATATTGTTTCCCGCGTGATAAACTGTTTTGTTGCATTAAGTGAGAATCGTCGAAAAGCATCTTCCTCAATAACGCACATAAATATTTCGGCGAAAAGTTTTTACCAGAAATATAACTTTTTGTCGGTAAAATTCTTGTTAGCGTTGACTCCAAGACCAAGTTACTTTTCCATGAGCTGCTCTGTATTTTCAGTGTATTATGGTTTACCAACGTATGACGTAATAAACAGTACCAGTTACTTGTATCAGTTATATAATTATTCCCTTAATATTTATTTCCTATTTCGAGCTTTCGCAAGCTTCACTATCTTACCTTGTAGATAAAATGTCAGAAGTTTACTTGATGTTAACATTTACGATGTCTTCACTTACCACGAAAATTACAGAACGTAAAGTAGTGAAGTTCCAGCGGGAACGACGATATTTTCTGACTCACGCTTTTACGTATCGCTGAATCATTCGATGCTCGTGCGTCGTCAGCGCAAAAAGTAAAACCGAGAGTGACATGACGAATCGCGTTTGGACCGTAATTACAATCGAAAACTACAAGGGAGGGTGGAAACGGCGACGCCGGTAGTCGACGTGGTCCGTTATGCCCTTTCCTTCCACCTTAACTTAAGCGTCGATAAATTACTTTCTCTGCATACTAATAGAACTTATAAACGAGGGTAGATAAGAACTCGCGACTCTCCGCCGCCAGCTTTGCAACATTTTAATCTAACTTCAACTCGGGGAAACCTCACATAAATAGACGTGGCGATATGACTCGAAATGTTATTTGCAATTTGCGGTACACTGTGCGTTAATGTTTTATTTCACAAAAGTATATACAAATAAATATAAAACAAAATAACACAGCGTTAGACAAGATGTTCCAATCGTACGTATTTGTCTCCTGTTAACACGTAAAATGTGTTTAATCCTACAACAAACACATTTGCGTAAAAATACTCTTTCCCGCAACGATAAGCCATCCGTTACTTGTCAATCCCGGCAGTTTCAGATAAAAATATTTTGCGACGATGTTAACGCAACGGCGCTCGTAGATAAGGTTTAACATTGCACCAGGACTTCGTACTCCCTGTATGGGATTTCCTTCCCGTCGAACGGTATGTACATAACACCGTGACTTCTATGGACCTGCCAAACAATAGATAAAGTACATATTAATGTGCCCGATCGTGCGCGCGAGTGCAGTCTCGCTAAAGTTAACGAGCGGACGAGCAGGTCAAACAACCGTTCCGGTTGCCAGCGTACCTTTCCTACGGTGACTACGCCGTTGTGAAAAGTACGGCCGACGTAGAGCACTTCCCCGGTCGTGGTCATCCCGGCCTCCACCGCGTGTTCCGGTACGTGACCGTGACCCGATCGGATCCAGTTGAAATGGGCGGGCATCAATACCTACGAGAGCCAGCTTGTTTCGAACCACATTCACCTGGACCCCGCGACGGGGAGGGCGTAAAGGGGTCTCGCATCCGGCCGACGTAGCGGCGTACTTGGCGCTTTCTTCCGGCCCCACCCGACGCAGAAGTAGATTAAACCCGCAGGGGCGATCGCGCGGCTGTGTAAGTCGAGCCGAGAAGAAATTGATTCGGAGCGCGATCGAGTGCGCGACCGTAAGGCAAACAGAGGGTCCGCTTAATGCGGGATCGAAGGGATGTGCTTGAGTAACGCGTCGAATCTCCCGATCAATACTAGACCGTTATGTCTCGTTGCGCCTTCGCTATTCTCGCGCTTTCGTTTTCCCGACATCTTAAGGCCTTGGTCCAAGTCCTAGCATCGTGGACACAGGCCTTTAGGGAGAGTTGTCGACGGTTACCCTCGCACTGTTGAATCAATAGTGTTAAAGTTTACTCGCTGATGAGTCGCCGCTGCACGCGTCTATTTGACGAGTCGTTCGTTATATTTAACTACCGCGTGCGTCAAAATTTATTATCTTAATAAAAGTGTAATTAAAAAACAACTATGTCTGCTACCTGATGTAGTTTCCACATTGTTTAGTTAAATGGACGACATATTGAGGAGGAGCTTGGCGACTCATCGTTGAGTCAAATTTGACGCAACGAATTTAATTACGCTATTTTGATGAAGAATGATACATGTCCTATGATCATGAATATTGGGGATTATTATTTTTAAATGCAATTTAAATGTTACAGATTAACTAATATCCTTTAAACTTTTCACTCAATTGATTGTTCCGAGTATTTAAGGTGTAGACCGTAAATTAAAATCAATAAAACTAAGACAGGGGAGTAAATTATGAATGAATTGAAAATTTTTTAAGGTAAATAAGTGGAATTAAAAGGGCAATTTCAATATCACAAATTAGGAAAATGAATTTGAAAAAATTAATTCTAAAAAGGGAGTGCGAATTGCAAATCGGGTCAAAGTCGCAATCGAAAGCTGATAATCGGAGATTATGAATTAAATGACACGTCGATTCGTTCGCGTACAAGACGCCTCGGGTTCGTTATGACTTCGTCGAGGAAGGGAAAGATAACGCGAAGATGAAGGGTAACAGGAAGGGAGAGGATTTGTCGGAGCGATAAAACGCGCCCGATCGTTTCTGGAATATCGCCGCGCAAATATCCGCGACCGGCGCACCTCGGTCGATCGCGCAGTCGTAATCTTATCTTCGCCGTCTAAACGAGATGCGCCAGGGATATAGAGATAGAGGCGGCGCGCGCGCGCTAAGTTACGTAAGGGTTTACGCGAACGCTTTAACTCGCTTATTAAGGAAAGGAGGAACAGCGGCAGTTATGAAACCAATGCCCCCGTAACTACCTGTACGGAGGTGCGGGACGCGTAAAAATGCAGCGCGCGTTACGTAATTACAGATTGATTAAAATTACGAGAGCGTAGGAGACAACTAAATGAAAATAATTAACACGCGATTGATGGCGTGCGATCGACAGCGGCGCGTAATTGGAGCCTCATGTCACGTAATTGGAAACAGAATTTTGCTCGAAAATTCCGGCTCGGTGTCGACGTGCGAAATAACGAAGAGAATCGGGGGGGAGGGGGGGGGGAGAGAATCTCTTGTTTCCCGCGACTGGACGTACCTCGAACTCGTGCTTCGTATACTCGCTACCTGCGTAAGACACGTAGGCGACACTGTGATCCGGTTTCACTTTCGCCGGCATCATTTCGCCCATGTGCCCGGCACGACCTACGACGAGATTCATGCCGTCCAGGTCCCTGCCGATGGAGATCAACATGTGACGGTCGCCGTAAGGTACCGGCCATCTGGCCCATCTATATCCTGGAACGAATATCATCGAATAATCCGCGATGCTGCCTCGAAATCGCTACAGTCGACATTTCGGCCGACACTTTATCGCGCCACTTTTTATCGTATCGACTACCTCTTATAAGTAATCAAATAGGTGAGTAATCGTTAACGCCGTTACGGTGGTTATTAAGTGGACTTTATTATATTCCTTATCGCGAAAAGAAAAAATTGAGATAACGAAATAAGTAAGTGATCGCTAACCGCCGTTACAGTAACATTAAGCGGGCGTTCATTATATTTTCTACTGTAAGAAGGAAAGTTTTTTTGATAACGATTAGATAAGTCACTTCCACGTTGGCTTATTATATTTGTCGAAATACACTTGTAATATTTTTATAAGTAACGAATAAAAGAGACCTACACGGAGAGATTTTTTTTCCAAAATTTATCCTGAAAATCGTGCAATCGTGGAACAACATGGCATTTCGAATAGTTTTACGAGTTTTATTAAATTTCACCATACATTTTACTAGTAAAGTGCACGGTAAAATTTCAAAAACTCTCATAAAGTTTCAAAACGCCATGTTGTCCCATGATTATATGATTTTCAGGGTAAATTTTAAAATAGTTCTCTCCGTGTACGATTGTATTAAAACTACTGTTGTAATTTAATTATAAAGTTACGACAGACCTCTGAATGTTCATCCAGAAAATTGAACCTGATAAAGCGAACGTTTGACAAGCAATAAATAGTTTAATACTTATTGAAATAATTGTTAAATCACCATATATTTATTATTTTAACAGATCACCAAAAAATGTAGAATTCTTTTTCTCTACTTCTGAAATTGTATGTCAAGATAAAAATAAAGCGAACTTTACACTTGCTTCGTAATTTGATCATTTACTATATAATACCTTCACCCGTTTTTATTTCTAAACTTTATGGTACTCAATGTCACTGCTTACCAGGCATTATTGTTCCTTGATCGAAACACGCTGTCGCGCTGTCACGCTATGACGAATAATTAAATAGAGCGAGTGACGGTATACGTGGCGATACGTTTAAGTGAGAATTATCACTGAACGTGCCGATACTTTGGGCGTAAACGAGCTCAGACCGCAACCCCACCATTAGATACCTTATCAATCTTATCAGCACGCAAACGCATGTTACACGGAGCGCATATGGCACGCAAAATGTCATGTTCAAACACATGGGCCACACTTTGCTATTCATTCGCCACATCACGCGACGTGATTCCGTACCCGTAATAATGTCATTGCTACAATTTTTATTGTAACCTCGCGGTTGCGACGAAAAGTGAACTACATTGTAAACAGATCCAGTCACAGTGTACGCAATGCATTAATCATTACGTGCGAGATAAGACAAATTCGTAATAATCGATCCGATATAGCAATCGTGTGCGTCATCGAGAACAAATAAAGTAATCGAAAGGCGAAGTATATTTGGTTTATTCGACTGTGTACGAACACATCCGTTTTTAACAATGAAATGCATAGCCCTATTAAAATCCTGATACACGAAATGGAAACTAGATATTCAGAGCAGAGAGCGATTTGTCGGTACACGATACAAGCTTAGCGATCGCATTTTATCCATCGCCGATGGAAAAAATTTGTGAAACGTTATCTCACGATTTGTGCAAATTCGTACTAGAGAAAGGCAGAGAGACAGAGAGATAAAGCGCGAGGGAGGGGGGGTGGGGACAAAGCTCAGATCGCGGGCAAAGTCTCAGGCGGAGCAGACCCGTTATTTTCCCGTGGCTGTAAACGTCGCCGTTGTGCCTCGCGAGGAATGCACGGCGGCGGAGGAATGAACTTTCTCGTTCGTGCGCGGCAGGAAACGAGCGATTTGCCGCGCTCGTCGCTCGAGCGAAGAGAAGCCCCCATCTCTGACGTCGTATCGCTGTGCCGTGCAGAAATACGCGACTCGCGAGTCGCGCTCCGGGCGACCGTAGTCGCGCGCGCGACTCGTTCGCTCATTATCGTCAAGAGTCGTACTCCGAGGCGCGAATTACGTAATGAGAAAGAAATGCGAGCGTCAAGCAAAGATTTATCTCAAGTATATGGCGCATCGGAAAAGCGATCGCTTGTTTCCGTTAAAATCGCCGATAAAGTTAGCAAGGTAAAAGCTTCTTTCGCCAGAATCGTCCGCTCTTCCTCTAATCGCTGATTCGTAGTTAATTGTGCCGCAAATAATGCGTTTAGAGCAGAGGCGGTCTGTTCGTTTAATGAGACGTACAACGGGCCTGCCGCCTCAGGCGTAAAAATGAGGCGGGCATCTGATCATCGGTCTCGTTGAAAAATTCCGCCCGGAGTCTCGCTCGAAATTCGTCGCGCGATCTGAGGCTGCGCTCGGCTGTGTTGGACTATGATTGGCGAAATTCGAGACATTTAATCGAACGAGATGAAATAGGAGCGTCCTTCGCCGCGCTCTTATATGCAAGAACGTTACACAGAAGGGTGATTTAAGCTCGGTGAGGGTGCTTTAATGGATCTGCTAAGGCGAGTGCTATCTCTTGGATATACTCCCTCGTCCCTTTGTGAATAACGCTTTCGCTCGCGCTGATCGTCCCTTTTCTTTCTTTCCTTTTTCCGATATACATATATATACACCATATATTGTATATACATCCATACATATATATATACCCTGTGTAACCAAAGACTGACATAAAATATCGGAATCACGGCGCTATTTGCCCAATGCTATTGACATGACAGGAAAGATATTGCGGCATTCGTTCGAGCTATTTGAAAATTCTCTATGGCGATTGTCAATATACACTAAAGTAGTTGTTCTAATAAAAAAAAATTTATTATATGGATATAAATCAAACAGCGAGAGATTTTATATTCCGGGACGAGGACAGTCCTTTATAAACATCGGTAAAAGATACGTGTGTGAATATGCAAATATAAATTCTATATAAACACGTATACAAATATAACAGTACAAATCTCTAGAGATATAACGGATCCGCGTAAAAACACTTTCAAAATGTAGAATGATGTACACAGAAATGGTTACATGTTTAGCGAGCGATATTTGCATTAGGTTCCAATTACTAGAGCTATTTCAAGAGAAATCGCCAAGGGGGTAATCACTGGCTAAAATGTTGTCCCACCGATTACACGATTTAATTTGATTTCATACGATTTCATCCGATTACAAATAATCTTATCTAATTGCAAATAATTTTCTTATATGCACGTTTAAAAATATGTAACGTTGTTAAACTTCGAAGAGCTGTTGGATTTCCTCAAAATATATCTTTCTTATTTCACTAAGAAGTATTTGCTTGTAGAGGTAATTTCAGTTAAGATTCTGGTATTCGGTCACGTGTTTCCTTGCTTCCCACTTTTCCCACTAGTCTAACCGTGGTCTTAACGAAAAGTAATTTGGTATTTGTATTTATTGTTTATTGTTACAAATTTGCGCGCAAAGGTGTATCAACGTTTCAATTCACTGTTGCTCTAATAGCAACTACTTCAGTCTTCTTTCGTAAAGAATATGCGCTTATAGGCGTCAACTATGATATATATTTGGATATTCACTGAAAGAAGTAAATTTTTTTATGGAAAACAAGAGCAAGCTGAGAAAATGTTCAAATTTGATGTTTAGTGTCTAACAAGTGAAGAAAGTTGGAAATTAAGACAAAACGATTACACGGGGATTTCGTAAGGATTTCATAATGACTTAGGACACTGTCTCATGATTACATCAAGTTGGTTACCCCCTTGGAAATCGCTGTCGTCATCCGCGAAACACTTTTCGTGGCGCGACACCCCCTTTCTTCGGCTCGCGCGACGTCAGAATTGGGTTAATTTCGCTTAACACTTAACGAGCACGCCTTCCTTTCTAACGGACGTTAAATCGCAGGATTCAAGCGGAAGTGCCCGTACGCACGGCGCGGCGGACGCACAGCGCCGGGGTAGGTTCCGCGGTGGCAGGCGCGGAACAAGGGAAACGCTTGAGCCGCTGAACCGAACAAAACACCCTGGCCGGCGCTTTAAGCCGACAAAACAATTCCGTCGGCGGAGTGGCGGCTGGCAAATACGTTGCCGGTAGTCAATGTTCCAAAAGGATCCATTTGTCTCGCTCGACAAAACGTCGGGCCGAGCGCGCGCGATACCCGCGCTTATTCCGTATCGCGCTCACGTTGCATTCAACCTACACCTCCATGAGTAATGCCATGTTAACGTGCCAAGTGTGCGATCCCCCGACCTGTTTAAGGCGCGAGCTTTAAACGTTCATGTGTTAGGTGTGATGACGTCACACGTCTAACTGGATACCTCGAATGTACTTTACACTTTTGCACATCCTTCACGGGGGAAAAAATGTAGCTGTTCAGTTGTAAAATATGGACAGCTGATATTTAGCTGTGACAGCTAATACTTTGCCTATTGTATTAGGTGCGACAGCAAACCGTTTGCTGTGGTTTAGAAATTTACAGTTGGTGTAGAAAAATATTTTTACCAAATCATGATATGTGCGCGAAAATTTTCTTTTTCGGCGTATGAAACTTTTCTTTAAAGATCGCAGATTTTGCGGATGAATAACAAGCTTGATTCGACGATTGCTCGCGCGTGAAATATCAATAATCAAAACAATCGCAAGATAATTAGAATATTGAATTGATAATTACACAATAATTAGAATAATCTTGGAATAAATTGATGCTACAAAAATCGTTTGGATCTCGAATGGAAGCTCGAGACGTGCTAGCTTTTGTCATACAGAGTCGGGGGAATAAATCGCGAGACTTTCTTGAGGACGACAAACAAAGAGGATTGAACCAAGTATGCGTCTCTCCGCTCGGTGGTCTCTTTATTCGTACCGCGACAGAGATCCTCTGTAATGGAGGCTCTTTAATATACGAACAGAACAGAAACATGACTGTGTACTTTGAATTAAATGTAAAAGTTGATCGAAATTCGTTAGCATATATCTAGAGACTACTCGAGACAGAAAGGATGAAGTCGAAACTTCAGTAATGCTACTCGATGCTATGTTTAAATTAGACGTCTGTTTATATATCGCTGAATGAGTTCTTCTATCTGCTCCTCGATTATGATGTATAAAACATGAAGTGCGTACGTCTTGCGGAAATGTATTTCCCATTGAAACTTATTAACTTCATTCGGGCAGCCGATCTTGCTCGATCTCTGTTTATATTGATATCAACTGGTTTCGAAATCCTGAAATCTCCGACAGCTTCCAAGCGCAATTTTCTTCCAACAGCTTTTATTATCACTTACAATTGTAAAATTATCATTAAGAATTCCGAGTTAGCCAGTAATTCCTCGGCGAATGTTATTTTAGCGGCGAAAGGCTAACAAAGGCCAGCCAAGCTCGAGCTGTTGGCTGAGCCAACTGAGGTGGCACAATAGCCGACAATTCCTGAATACCGCCGGGTTATCTAATGTAGTTGAAGTCAAAAACCATTAATGAAAAATTCTCGTTGCGCATTAACAGTTCTAATTTCATGTAGTAGAGCAGTCGAGTTTCGAGAAGACCGGTGCAGCTTGGAATCATTCTGCGATTTTTCGCTCGGCGAATACGCAACGACCGAGAAAGACGCGAGTCCCGGCGAATTCTGTCGACAGGAAACAAAGAAACGCCGCAAAGGTTCCACAGCAGCGTCGCGTTTCCTTTGTTCAAGCAATCCCGCCACGCGACGCGTCGCGTCGCGTCGCGTCGCGTCGCACAACGCCGAAGTCTCCGGCGTTGGCTGTGGAGGGAGAGCTCGAAGCCGGCACCGCGATGGATCGATACAGCACCAAGGGGTAGTGTTATGGGGGTGGCTGGCTCGTAATACACGGGGGCTCGCCGCTATTCCGTGATGGCTAAAGCGGAGAGGGAGAGAAAGAGAAAGCGCGAGAAAGGGGGGCGAGGGCGAGAGGGGGAGAGAGGGAGAGGGTTGAAAAGAGAGGACGCGGGAATGAGAGAGAAAATGTACGTGCGCACCCTCCGCTCTAACCTGGCGGAGGCAGAGCTAGCGCCAGCAGCATCCCATTCGTCAATCCTCGTCCCTCGTTGCTGAAGGCTCTTTCTCTTTGTTCGAGTTCGTTAAACTTC